ATGCCCTTCCAGCCGCAACCCATCTCTAGGAAACATCCACTCACACACTCAAACACTACAGACAATTTAGCCTACCCAATTCATCTGTACCGCATGTCTTTGGACTGTGGGGGAAACCTGAGCACCCGGAGGAAACCCACGCGAAGGCAGGGAGAACATGCAAACTCCACACAGAAACACCAACTGAGCCGAGGTTCGAACCAGCAACCCAGCGACCTTCTTGCTGTGAGGCGACAGCACTACCTACTGCGCCACCGCCTCGCCTAGCAAGGACACTGTATTTAAAGATTTTCAGTAAGTTTACTTTTTGTTGATTATAAGTTACATTGCAACTAGTATTAGTAGACTTTTTAGGTTGGGATTAGAGTAAGGGTTTGTGTAAATTGTTTTTAATAGCATTGTTTCAAAAGAAGTAGTCAGGAGAATGTTAGTGCAGTATATCAGCAAATGTTAAGAAGACTGTCTACTAATACTCTAATGAGACGTTGCTGACATGTAGCTGGAATGTAACTTGAAATCAACTTCTGCAAATGTGCAAAAGGGACATAAAGTTTAAAGCATTAACTGGGAGAGATGTGAAAATGAACCATCATGTTGGTATACCAATGTAACCTTAAGAAATTTTGATCCTAGAAAAAGAAACACTATAAACATGTCAATTTTTTTAGGCATATTTTATCTGCTGCCTTTGCTTAGACTGCAAATGTAGGAACAATAAAATGAGGGTAGCTCAAGCTTCACATTGTTCACCTTAAATGAAGACTGATAACCCGAGCAGCATGACAGAGCCACCTGTTTCACTCTCAACACAGATACATACACATAAAACAGCGCTCGTTCTCAATTTAGCTTAGCCAATCCAGAGGTAAACGTTCAAATTGTTTCAATTCACAGAGGAATCTTTTAAAATAGGTGCTGCTTTAGTAGGCATTTCGGGTGGCTGTTTGATGTGTCATATTTCATAAGTGAGAATCCCCATAACCGAAAGTTTGACATTTTTTGGATGTTTTCTCCATCTTTGATGAATGGCTGGGAGGTATTCAGAAAAATCTACAGGGACCAGGTTAATTGAGCCAAATTAAATCGTAAACTACTAACGTAGAGAGCTGCGTTTATGAATAATCATAAACCAAACTCCTTCGGGAGAACTGGAGATCAGCAACAAATTTTCATATGTGAGCATGCTGGGACTTCACAAACATCAAGTGAAAAATGAAATATAAATAAATAAATAAATAAATAAATAAATAAATAAATATCAAAACATTGTAAATTCAGAAAAGTATTTGCATTCAGTTTGTATACTTCACTTTAAGCCAAGACAGTTAATAGAGTAAATAGATGATGATGATAACAACAACAACAACAACAACAATGATAAAAATAATAACAACTACAATAATAATAATAATAATAATAATAATAATAATAATAACAACAATAATATAATAATTATTAATATTAATAATAATATGAATAATAATAACAACAACAACAACAACAACAACAACAATAATAATAATAATAATAATAATAATAATAATAATAATAATAATAATAATAATAATACATTCATTTACTTTTTGGCTTAGTCCCTTTATTAATCTGGGGTCACCACAGCAGAATGAACCGCCCACTTACCCAGCACATTTTATGCAGCGGATGCCCATCAAGCCACAACCCAGCTCTGGCAAACATCCACACACACTCATTCACACTCATACACTACGAACAATTTAGCCTACCCAATTCATCTGTAGCACATGTCTTTGGACTTGTGGGGGGAAACAGGAGCACCCGGAGAAAACCCATGCAAATGCAAGGAGAACATGTAAACTCCACACAGAAACGTCAACTGACCCAGCCGAGGCTTGAACCAGCAACCATCTTGCTGTGTGGTGACAGCACTACCTACTGCGTCGCCTAATAATAATAATAATAATAATAATAATAATAATAATAATAATAATAATAATAATAAAAAACACTAATAATAATAACAATATTAATTAATAAAATAATAATAATAATAATAATAATAATAATAATAATAATAATAATAATAATAATAATAATAATAATAATAATAATAATAATAAAATAATAATAATAATAAGTATTAGTAATAATATTATTAATGATAATGATAATAATAATAATAATAATAATAATAATAATAATAATAATAATAATAATAATAATAATCTTCATATTTCTCAGATAAAATAATTAATTGAAAACATGTTTCTATTGTTTTCAAATGTTATGTTACGGAAATCAGATCATATGATCATACTGTATCTGAACATGTATACTGTATATAAAGTTAAATAGCTAATATATTTAAACATGTGTACAAATGTATAATTTCAATTATATGCAATTTCATGGGATGCAGTAACCGTGTGACAAAGGTAACATTTAAAGGTATTGATCACCCAAAACTGAAATCTACCAACTATGTACTCACTCTCAAGTGGTTCCAAACCTTTATGAGTTTCTTTCTTTTGTTGAACACAAAAGAAGATACTTTAAAGAAAGCTCAAAACCTGTAACCATTGATTTCCATAGTAGGAAAAACACATTGTATGGACATCAATGGTTACAGATTTCCAGCTTTCTAATTATCTCAATTTGTGTTTATCAGAAGCAAGAAACTCAATGTTTTGAAACAAGTTAGTGGAGAGTTAATAAGTAAATGATAGTTAATTATCCCTTGGGGCTTCATGGTGGCGCAGTGGGTAGCACAATTGCCTCGCAGGAAAGAGGTCACTGGTTCGAGCCTCGCCTGTGTCAGTTGGCATTTCAGTGTGGAGTTTCCATGTTCTCCCCGTGTTCACATAGGTTTCCTTGGAGTGCTCCATCCCCACAAGTCCAAAGACATGCAGTGAATTGGGTCAGCTAAATTTTCACATGTAAGCATTTTAAAATATAAAGGTTAATCACTATCACATTTTCTAGGACTGCTCGGTTATCAAAAAATATTGGAAAGAAATACACAATGCCTTACAAAGTATCTTTGAATCTGTGATAACCTTTGATTGTGAATTGAATTTTTTTGGACAAATACCTGGGATATGGTTAAATAGGATAAATATCTAGTGAATATTTTGCTGGTGGCTGTCAAAAAGAGCATTACCAAAAATGGTTGTCACATGAAAGTCCTACCCTAAATGCGTGGATGGAAATTACAATGGAAATGTATAAAATGGAGCAAATTACCGCATTTTGTAAATCAGAAAATGGAACAATTTCTTTATTTCTGGTAAAAATGGACCAACTCTGCAACATCCCATAGACCTGGGGCCTTATGTATCAATGTTGCGTACACACAAAAACTTTGCGTACGCCAGGTTTCATGCTCACGTTTGGATTTACTAAAGATGAAATGAACGTGAGAATGTGCGTTGGCCCACGCCAACTTCATGCCTGGCATACGTGCATTTCTTGTGTGTGTTTGTTTCATTTCCATTGGCGACTCCTAGAGGCAATTATGTTAAATTGCACAATACAAAGTATCTTTGAGCCGTGCAATGGCAGCTGTATGGGACGGGATCATCCGCATGTCTAGCAGGTATATAAGATTTCCATACCATGCAGTTGAGCAGCCAAACAATAAAGCGCAACTTGCAGCGATCGCCAAATTTCCCAATGAAATCGGAGCAATCAATTGCACGCACATTGCTATAAAGGCGCCATCTGAAGATGAATTTGCATAGGCTATGTGAATCGGAAACATTTCCAATCAATAAATGTGCAAATAATATGTGATTCTTAAATGCGCTTAAAATAATACACACACTTAATAATGATTCCTACTTGTCTTCCTTGTGATGAAGAGTAGGCAAAATATGATATGTAATGGGGAAAAGGAAGAATGAGTTCATCAGACGCTGAATTCGAACCAGGTTTATGAATGACAGTGTCAAAACATGTTGCCATGCACTTAACGAGCTACGCTATTGATTCCTTTCTCTTTAGCTTTGTTGTCTCTGTCGATCAAACGGGCGGAAATCACTCAACTAGCTTATTCCAACGACAAACTTGCTAATAACACAGTATTTCTTCGGTCTACCTCTGATAGGACCACCTCCAATTGTTATTCTGTTCAAAGTTTCTCTTTTTGCTTGCTTTTGCCATTGCTTTTTCATTTGGTTTTGCCAAAGTAAAGTCATTACTATATTTATTAAGGGAAGGAGGCAGGGAGGGGTTTCGCGCACATGCACATGCGCATGCGCTCAGTTTAACGCTAAGTTGGATTTACAAAGAGACGTGCGTGGGATTCCACGTACCCACCGTTTCATACATCTGAATTTTTTACTGCATACGCACATTTACAGCTTTGTGTCTACGCAATGTTTAAGTATGAATTCAACGCAAGTCTTTGTACATGAGGCCCCAGAACTTTTCTGTTAACCTAAAATTGTAATGATTACTTCCTACATGTACATAGTTTTGTTGTTGATGTTTATGTATATCTTATTTTACTGGTTTATTTTATTATTTTTACTTAACTGTCCCCCGCCCTTTGTTTTTTTCTTATTTTATTTTATTTATTTAAATTATTATTATTTATTTTAAAAACATTTTTATTATTTAGTACATTAGTGTACAAGCGCACACAAAGGAAAGCATACTGTATATTGCTGAAAGAGAAAGTGGATGTACAGAATTTGTGATTATATTTGTGAGTGTATTCAGATGTGTGACCTCTGACCTGTACCCAATGTAAGTATAAAACCTTTTGAGAAAATAAAAAATATAATAAAAAATTATAATAAAGTGATTTTGAATGCTTTGCTATAGTTTTAAAATTTTTTATAAAAACCTGACACAAAATTTAAAACTTGAAAGCATAAAAAATAATGTTTTGCCTCAAAGATCTGCATTGAAATCTAAAAAGGGACAAACTGAAGCAAACAGGCCGAATGACAGCATGTGTGAAAAAACTGAAGAAAAACTCTCAGCGAGCATGTTAAAACTTACACGTTTCCACTTACATTTTTGGAGGTGGCAGCTCGGCTGAAGCACAGATAGCGTGTGACCTTGGATTTGAATATGCTGTCCTTCCACAGGTTGGCGTCGAAGCCATCTGTTGTTTGTGCAACCTACGTGAAAAGAACAAAAAACACACTGAGAGAGGAGAATGTGCATCGAGGTGAGATGGAGTTAATGTATGGACAGAGCACACGTTTCCTTTTTTTCTGCTCTCGGTTTAATTAAGGTTTGCTTGAGCTCTCACTTCATCTCATTAAAGCCTAGAGAAGATCCTCAGCCTCCTCAAAAAAAAGAGGGGTAAAAATACCAGCAGTCCCCCGTGGGACAAGCAGGATGAGACAAGACCTCACAAAGAAGGCCTGGAACAAGCTAAATGAGTCTTCACATGTGCTCTGCAGAGATCAAGCAGCTGCCTTTCTCAAATACAGTACAAACAATAGCAGTGATGCAATCACCGTTTAATCACGGTTTAATAATATGCAACAGGATGTTGGATTAGAATTAGTAATTTAATGACAGGACATAAAACTTATATTATATTAATTATATTATATTATATTATATTATATTATATTATATTATATTATATTATATTATATTATATTATATTATATTATATTTAGTGCTGTCAATCAATTAAAAAATTATGTGAAAATTAACTAATTAATCGCACCTTTTTAAAAAAATTTATCGCGATTAATCGCATTTAAAATACTGAAACTTGTAATTTTGGCTATTCAAATGTAAAATTAATGTAAACGCAAGACAAAAACTATTTAAATTCAAAATATAATTGTTTATTAGAATTAAAATTCAAAATATAATTGTTTAATAGAATTTTTGTTTAACTTGTAACACAGATTTCTTCATGAAAACAACATACCCACAATAAACCATCAAGATCCTGGCTTGACAGCCATATTTATTACAGAAATTAAAACACAGGCATGTTAATGAACTTTAAATTTCAAAACAATCAATGCCAATAAAGAAAACATTGATTTCCATGTTGGATTCTAAGTGAACTGCAAAAAAATGACAAAATGCAGGAATTGCAGATATGGAAAATGAAAAATTATAATAATAAACTATAGAATACAAACTGTTGCACTCATTGTAAAGTTTTATTGCTGTGAGTTGAGAACATTAGTTATAGAGTAGAAACAATTTAGCTTAATCCTCCTTTACATTCACCCAGTTGCTAAGACTTGGAGTATCCCGCAAGTGCACAGAGACTCCCAAATGCCCGCAAATGAATGATAATTTCTCGCAAACCGGTCGTTAAATACATTGCACACCCCTCTCCCCCGCATCCCTCCTAGCTCTTAAGGTAGCCTATGTCGCGCGCAACTCACCCCCACCGTCCTTCAGGTACGTCTCGCGTCCCTACTCAAATACGTCGCTCACTCCACCCCTGACACTGACACCCCTCAACGGGCCTGACAGAGACACACACACAACGGCCTTCCATACTGGAGCAACTCCCCTCAGATTCAACACGCATGATCACGTTCATCAAATTTGCTTAAACTAAGCGTCCTAAAGTATTACTGTATTTCACAAGGATTCTGACACAACACGAAGCATACGCTTTCGTTGTGTTTAATGATGAAACACGCTAAACTTGGAGGGCTCATGCTGAAAAGCAGAGTAATGCCCTGTCTTTGACAGCTCGCGACTTCACCAGAGACTTTCTGAGTACATTCACATAAGACACCAATATTCCTATTTTAATATGATTAAGATTACACTCTTGTCAAAATTCTACCGTGTAGCCTAAGCAGTGATTTTATTACCTTAAAGGAAGACCGAGTCACGAAATGCGGAGGATTTTCTTTCTGTTCGCCATGCGGTATCAACTTACAACAGAAGTCGAAAGTTAAAAATGAAACACCCGAAATTGCATCAAACTCTGCAGAGCCTGATGATGCAACTAATTGTTTTATATAGAAACTTCCCTTCAAAAAGTGCTTCCTTGGTCTTATCCACATTTCTTGCATGTTAAACACACGTCCACCACAACATGAAGTAAAAAAAAAACCTGCAACTGCGTTAATTGCATAAATTTTTTTTTACGTGTTAATTATTAAAAATCAATCGCATGCGTTAATGCACTAATTTTGACAGCGCTAATTATATTGTATTATATTATATTATATTATATTATATTATATTATATTATATTATATTATATTATATTATATTATATTATAATCCCAACAATGAATTCAAAATTATATAATCTATAATGATACTTCTATTTTAAATGTACCTGAATTAATGGTATTGATAGTTAATTTATTAACGGATTATTACAGAGAAATGTATGACTTGTTTTTTAAAAGTTTAACAGATATATTTAAATATTATTGTAATTCTACACAACATGATATGTGTATGATAGCATTAAAGGTGGTTCTCGAATGATTCTTAATCTGCTTCTCGAATTCTGATTGGCTGATAGCCATGTACTATTCTGCAATAAAAGCACTCGTACAGCCTCCTCAACTGTCTGTATTACTCAGCCCACATAGAGTAACAGCAGATCAATAAACTCAATACAGTTCAGTGTTTCCTCTAGGATTTTTTCCAGCTGTGGAGGCCTTTTTTTTAGATCTACCAAAGATCTATCAAATCATTATAAAACTGGTAAGTGATTTTCTAAATCAATCTCTCTCTTTTGTATGTTTTAGAGCTGTATTTATACCATAGTCTGGTAGTGTTTCTGGTGGTGTTTGCTTTGCTTTTTCGGGGGTAATTATTGTGATCTCCTGATTGCAACAGAGAAAAACTGGAAAATCTCTGTAGACTGATGGCATTTCATGCCGTTCAGCCTTATAATCTAAAAATGAGAGCAAATTCAGCTGTTTTGTCATCACTTTAGACATTACGCTAGAGAAGCATTCAAACATTAGCTCTAAAGTGACATTTGTAAACTGGCAACGGACGCTGCTGTTCTGACGTTATCTGCAGATGTGAATGAATGGTGGAAGAAAGTAGTTCCTCATACAAAAAGGATTTTAGACTTTCCATGTTTGATTTTCTTTTTTACATAAGAATCACACTCGTAGCAGGCTATGTTTACACTGCAGCCTAATGTGGCCTAAATCAGATTTTTTTGCCCACATGTGACTCAGGTAATGACAGTGTGAACAGCTCAAATCGTATAAAATCGAATCTTTTCACTTCAGATTTGTGTCACTTTCATATGCATTATTAAATCAGACACAAATCTGATGTTTTGAAATGCCACCGCAGTGTGAATGGTTATGTCGGATTTCATGTGACTTTTACATAATCTTTAAGCGACATGCGTCATCATTCTGTGCTGCAAACATGATCTACTCCTCAGCAGCATAGTAGAATGGCAATCAGGGCGATTACTTTACCACAGAAAGTTGGTTGTTCATTTTGAAAAAGATTTTGAATGCAAAATAGGTGGTAGTTAACCAATCTGGTTAAGGATTGGGGCACGGGTTGATCACGAAGCAGAAGAGCAGCGTGGGTGTTGCGGATAGAGGATCTGTGCACAAAGGAGGGGCACTTTCATTTAAGGGGGAACTTTCTCTCTGAAAAAAAAAAGGGCAGGTGCTCAAGCACTCAAACCCCCCTTCTGCACGTGCTTGTTGTTTATAACGAAGTAAAATGAAATAACTCTGCAAACAGAGATAAACCAACTCCGTCCTCACCGTTCAGTCTGCGGCTGCTCATTAACCCTGGATGAGTTCACTACACCGGTGGTCAGACTGGTGGTACACCGCAGTTGCCATAAATCACAAATGATCAGTGTTTTCAATCACAAGTGACTTATGTTATGTTTTAAATGCCGAAATGCACATTAGTAGTAGCAGAATAATCATTTACAGTTCATGAAATACACCACAGTTGTCTGTGAAAAGGGCAATAATATATTAAGCATGATCTGACAACGTGCTTCATTCAGTATACACATTGTGTGCATAATTAGACATTTTGTGCTCTCTGTTTTGTACTTTTGCACATACGGGTCAGTTTAGGACCACGATCTGTTCATACTGCAAATCTGCAATTTGCCACATTTACAACAACAATGTGAACAGCTATGCAAAAAAAATCTGATCTAAGAAAAAATCCGATTTGAGCACTAAGCCTCAGAGTGTGAATGTAGGCATTCGGCCTGCGGCCTCGTGTTAACGCATGCCTCCCACCATTGCCAATATACAGCCATATTGCACTGGTACTTGTGTGATATTGCTCATATATTGATACTAAAAGATTACAAATTTCTTTAAATATATAAATTATGTTTTTACATTGTAAGATGCATTCTATATACAGTTGAAGTCAGAATTAGAAGCCCCCCTTTTTTATTAGCCCCCTTTTAGTTTTTTCCCCAATTTCTGTTTAACAGAAAGACGATTTTTTCAACACATTTCTAAACATAATAGTTTTGATAACTCATTTCTAATAACTGATTTATTTTATCTTTGCCATGATGACAGTAAATAATATTTTACTAGATATTTTTCAAGACACTTCTATACAGCTTAAAGTGACATTTGAAGGCTTAACTAGTTTGTTTAGTATAACTAGGCAGGTTACGGTAATTATATATTGTATAACGGTATTGTATAACGATGGGTTGTTCTGTTGACTATCGCTTACAGGCGCTAATTATTTTGACCTTAAAATGGTTAAATGTAATGATACATAAAATAATTTTTAGAAATTAATTATTTATTATTGATAAATCATGTTTGCCACCTCAACTCAACTTCAGACAGACAGACAGACAGGCAGTGCAGGCAGGCAGGCAGGCAGACAGAAAGACAAACAGACAGACAGACAGACAGACAGACAGACAGAAAGACAGACAGAGAGTAAATGTGGTTGTCCATGACTGAAGCTCTCAGGAGGAGTCTATACATCAGCACAATATCCAGCTCTCTTTCCCATTGCCCCCCTCCCTTCACTAGACAACCCGTCCTGGACACTTTTTCCAGGTCAGTGCCCTGCTCCTCCTGACAGAGTAAACAAAGAGCCGGAGCTGTGAAGCCCAAAGTCAAACAGGGAGGAAACCAGGCACCAGAGGAGTCAGCTTGCCACCGCACAGCCGGGCCAGACACACGCA